ACAACAGTCACACCATGATCCACACTGAGCTCTCCAAATAAGCCTCTTAACCATATAGCCTCTTTAACTACCTCTATAATAACCATATACTCTGCCTCTGTATTAAACAAAGCAACCGTATGCTGTAAAGTAGTTTTCCAACTGAGTGCACAACCTCCAATAGTAAAGATGTACCCAATCAAAGACCTCCTCTTATCAAGGTCACCAACATAATCAAAATCAACATATCCCGTAAGAGTGTTACCAATTTTTCTCAACTCTAAACCAAAATCAGAAGTATCCTTCAAATATTTCAAAATCCACTTCACAGCTTGCCAATGAACTTTGCGTGGGCATGATAAACATCTACTTACAACACTAAAAGCATGTGAAATGTCGGGTCGAATACAAACCATGGCATACAAGGCTGCCAACTGCACTAGAGTATGGAACACGTGATATATATTTTATTTTCTCATTTGATTGTGGACATAAACTAACTAATAATCTAAAATGAGCAGCAAGAGAAGTGCTTATTGGTTTGATATCTTTCATGCCAAAATGATCTAACACCTTCTCAATGTAGCTTTTCTAGGAAAGATAGAAATTTTCCCTTTTCCAATCTCGCTGAATTTCCATGTTAAGGATTTTTTTTGCTACACCTAAATCCTTCATATCAAATTCAGCGCTTAACTGTGCCTTCAAAATATGTATATCCGATTTATCTTTCGCTACGGTCAACATGTCATCGACATATAATAACTAATAAATAAAAGAGCCACTTGGAAGTTTGCACAGATATACATAACTATTAAATTTGCTCCTACAATAGCCAAGTCGCACCATAAACAAATCAAACCTTTTATACCACTGTCTTGATGATTGCTTCAGGCCATTAATAGACTTTTTCAATAGACAAATATGGTTTTTCTTACCTTCAAATTGAAAACCCTTTGGTTGACCCATATAAATTTTCTCTTCGAGTTCACCATCCAAGAAAGCTGTTTTCACATCAAGTTGTTCCAACTCTAAATCATGCATAGCAACTAACGCAAGAAAAATCTGAATGGAACTATGTTTAACGACAGGTGAAAACACATCATTAAAATTAACTCCCTCAATCTAACTATAGCCTTTAGCAACTAGACGAGCTTTGATCCTGATGTCTTCAACTTCATGAATACCTTCCTTTCTTTTGATAACCCATTTGCAGCCCACAATTTTCTTTCCCTTTGGTGGCTTGACAAGCTTCGAATTTTGATTCTTTTCAAGAGATTCCATCTCTTCATTCGTCGCAACAAACCACTTTGCTAAATCTTTTGAAGATATAGCTTCCTTGTAGGTCTTAGGCTCATTATACTCTACTGACTCTACAACTGAAAGAGTATAAGCAACAAAATCCAAGAACCCATATTTATGTGAGGGCTTCACTGTCGTTTTTAGTCCATCTCTAGTAATAGAATATTGTTCTTCCTTAGGTTCTTCAATCTCAATATTATTAGTAGACGATCAAATTGATTGCGAAAAATTACTTCAAGCTCCACCTTCTCCGCAGCACTTTCTAGATTTTCATGACAAGAAATAAACGACTCCTTACCAAGATGAAGCGTAGTAGACTCATCAAAAGTAACATTTCCACTTATGATAATTTTAGATGAATTAGCACACCAAAGTCTATTACCCTTTACACCATTAGCATAACCAAGAAAGACGCATTTTTGTTTCTCTAAGCTCTAGTTTGCCTTCGCTAACATGTGCATATACTGGACATCCAAATACTCGAAGAGAAGAATAATCAGCAGATTTACATTACCATACCTCCTTGGTGTCTTGCACTCAATAGGTGTGCAAGGAGAACGATTGATCAACTGGCAAGCTATATTGACTGCCTTAGCCCAAAACTCCTTGCCCAAACCAATGTTAGACAACATGCATCTAGTCCTTTCTAGTAAGATTCTGTTCATGCGTTCTGCAATACCATTCTGCTGTGGTGTATGCACTGTAGTATGATGCCTCACAATACCTTCAATTTTGTAGAACTCATTAAACTCACCTCCACAAAATTCTAGCCCATTATCTGTTCTCAACCTCTTGATCTTCTTACCGGTCTATTTCTCAATCAATGTTTTGCATTGCTTAAATGTAATAAAAATATCCCTATTCTGTTTTAGAAAATAAACCCAAACTTTTCTTGAAAAATCATCAATGAAATTAAGTAAATACCTCAAACCAAGGCCTTTCGAAAGAACTTTCACAGGCCTCCAAAGATCAAAATGAATATAATCCAAAGTGCCATTTGTTATGTGAATTCCTATCTTGAAATTAACCCTTTTCTATTTTCCAAAGACACACTGCTCACATAAATATAGTTTTCCAATTTTCTAACCACACAAAAGATCTCTTTTACTCAGCTCCTCCATCCCTCTAATACTCATATGGCTTAATCTCATATGCCATAATTTAGTATTGTCTGATTATGACATAGTGGATGAAACTGCAACTGAACTAGTAACTGTAGTGCCTTGCAGCTGATACAAAGTGCCAATTTTAAGACCTTTTATCAACAAAAGTGAACCTCTCATAATTTTCATAACTCCACCTGCTATAAACCTACAACCGTTAGCATCAAGTGTATCCAAAGAGATAAAGTTTTTCTTCAAATCAGGAATGTGTCTAACATTTTCCAAGGTTCTGATTATGCCGTCGTGCATCTTAATACTAACAGTCTCAATCCCAACTGCTTTGCTTTTAGCGTTGTTTCCCATTAGAATAACTCCACCATTTTATTCATTGTACATGGAGAACCAATCACGATTAGGACACATTTGGTACAAACAGCCCGAATCAAGAATCCAACTATCGCTACATTTGTCTTTATCATCTACAACCAATAACTAATCTTCATTTTCTTCTTTAGCAACACCAGCTTAAGCGGGATTTTTGTTTCCTTCATTCTGCCTATTCTGGTAGTTTTGATTGTTCTGTCAATTTGCATTTCCTTGATTTTGTTGATTCAGATTATTTTCTCTTTGCTACTTTACCTTCAATTTCAGACAATTTATCGTGATATTCCCTAACACTTACAGTAGTTGAAAGTCAGATCCTTATGCTTCAATTTTGATCTACTCTTGCTACCATTGCTTCTCTCAACAGACCTTCATCTAGCAACTAAACTAGCCTTATGGTCATTACTGCTTTCAAAAGTCAATTCCATATCTAGTTTCTGCTTATTTAGAAGACTAGTCATAACATCTTCAAGATCGATAGTTTCTCTACTAACAATCATGGTCTCTCTAAAATTTTTACAAGAAGGAGGTAGTGAAACTAGCAATAAATGAGTTTGATCCTTATCTTCAATCTTAACATCAATACTTCTTAATTAAGAGATAATAGTATTGAAATAAGAATATGAGACTTAAGAGAAGCACCTTCTGCCATACAAAGAGTGAAGGGTCGTTGTTTGAGCCTCAACGGATTGATGAGGGATTTTGTCAAAAAAATACTCTCCAATGTTGTCCATAAACCCTGAAGCTGTTTTTTGATCTAGTACCCCTGTAGGACTTCATTTGTGAGACACAACTGAATAGCAGACATAGCTTTTTCATCCAATTCTTCCCAAGTTTCAATCGATGTGCCAATTGGTTTCTTTCATTTCCCAAATAGAGTTTTCTTCAAACCCTACTGCGTGATAGCCAACATATGAACCTACCATAAGTTGAAACTGCCGCTCTCATCAAACTTCCCAATATCAAATTTCGTTGTTGAATTTGAAGCCATAACTAGAAGATCGTAAAACCCTAAGGCTCTTATACTAGATTGTTATGACTTATGCAGAAACTATAACAAAATTAAAACTGAGAATAATAAAGAATACATTGATTTACGTGAAAAACCCTTGCGGAAAAACCACAGGGTGAGGAGAAGCAAAATCCGTTATAGAAATTATAGGATTACAAAATGTGGTTCAAAAACTAAAGACTTTCTATTTCAACTTCTTCACCTAATAACTTAATAAAAGTAATATTTATATTGCTCTCAAACCCTAATGTTGGCCCAAGCCCATAAAGAATTTAAGACATACTCAACATGTTCTAAACCCTTTTCATGATATTTCAATGTAATCCATTCGGTCTAATTTGATCGGAAATGATTAACGTAGCGGTCTAGTCATCATCGATTGTCATCAGCGATCCAAGATGGACACCCTCTAGTCAACCCAAAATGGATAACCTCTATTCAAAATGACATTGTTTTGAATATTTTGTTGAATATTATGATTTTTTTCTCTCTGTTTTCTTTTACTGTTCATCTTCAACTTTAAAACTGTATCTGGGTTTGGGACGCGTTATAGTAGAGATGCAGGATTAGCTCCTCGTGTCCTCCGCCATATGCAACAATTGACATTTGAACACGTCAAACCATTGTCTGAATACCCACCGACGGAGAAAATATTAGGTAGGACTCGCAGTCCACCGTGGCAAAAAATGAGTATCTCAGCGTGCGACACGTGTCGCCGGGCCCCACCCGGTCAGATAACCTCCAATATTTTGAAAATATAGCGCCTCTCTCCTCTCATCTCTCACACTCTCGCGCCCCAACCCCTCTCTCTCCTCCCGACTCAGAACTTGGCGCTCCCTCCGACTCTTCCGACGCCGGCGCCTCCGCCTCCGCCGACGACGCCGACGCCGACGCTCCTCTACGCGCTCGCGCTCCCAACTTCTCTCTTCTCACAAACGTGCCGCCTCCGACGCCGACGCCTTCTGCACTCTGAGAACTCGCGCTCCCTCCGACACCGCCTCCGACGTCCACGCCGACGCCTCCGCCGACGCCTCTGCCCCCAACCCTTGCCGACGCCTCCGCGTCGGCCATGCCCTAGCCCTAGCCTCTGCCTCGACGCTCTGCGTCCGCAAGCCCCGAAGAAGCGACGGTGGAAGGCGAAGCCGTAGCCAAAGGAGGAGCTCCACCACCACCAGCCGCAGCCGGCGGCAGCGGCCAAGTCTTCGTCGTCGTCGGCGGCGGACGGCCAGGGAGAAGAGATCGCAGCAGCAGCACGCGGTCGACGAGAAGTACACCCGGCGGAAGTCCCTCGTCCCCGTCCTCTACGACTGGCTGGCCAACCACAACCTCCTCTGGCGTTCTCTCTCTTGCCGGTACTTCAAAGGCCTCCTATTTCTCTGTTCGCTGTTTTGCACAAGCTTAACTTCTCTTTATATCAATATTAGTTGGTGAATGTAGGTGGAGTCGCACAAGCTTCTTTGGGATGAGTTTGCAATAGCTGGTGCTGTGCGTGAGTTTGGTGGGCTGGAAGTTATTTTGGACATGATCCAGGTAAAAAAAAATTTGCAACAGCAAGTCCTGTACTGCAATATCTTCTATTTCCTGCTTACCGAAGATGTCCTTGTGCGGGGATCTGTGAAGTGTAGATATGTGCTTACGAATTTGCATTTTTTAGCAAAATGAAAACTTTCCCTTTTGTGGATATGTACAGAGTGTTTTTTAGATTCTCTGGACATCTGCTGATAATAGTGTGCATTCTGATTTTGTATTCTGCTATTCTATTCATTTCATATTCCAGAACTTGGCTTTGGACATTGAAACATTAGTTTTTTGTTAGCTTACGGAAATAATGTAGGAAATAGAGTATGGCTGTAGGGAATTTTATGCTTACTTGTGTATTCATATCACTAGAGGACTCTGAGGTGCTCCATTTGGTCATCTAAAGTTTCAATTGAATGGTTCTTTCAACCAAAAAATTTGACTTAAGAAAGGAAAGAGCTTCTTGTGCTACAGTTGTTAGCAAGGATCGTTCTGAATGTAGATTTGGCTAAGTTGGCATTCCACATTCTTAAATCCTGCAAAAAGGGTCTCTAGAATCAAATTTTCAGCTAAGCAAGAAGAAGCCCGCTTTGCTAGCGATGTATTTTGTTTGCTTAATATCTATATTAAAATTTACTCTCTTTTTTTTTTCCCTTTGTGTAATTTTCTCACCAGTTGGATAAGTTTGGTCACAAGTGGCTAGTGTAAGGGTTGGAGGGAAGGAGGAAAGGGTTGCTTAATTTGGAATCTTGACTTTGCTTACTAAATTCTCATTGATTGACATTGCCACGATTTGTAATTGACCCAAGAATATGCCTTGGATCTACAGAAACTATATCGAAATTTGGAGCAGGACTGTTTCTGTTGGTCCAAGTAATTATCCTGCTAGACTTCACTCATTCGTGGAATGATGCATGGGTTGCAAAAGATGAACAGAAATGGTTAGTTGGAGTCTTTAAATATTCTATTCTATCTTTCTTCCTTCTCTGTATGTTAGGCTTCTTTGATATTTGAGTTCTGATGGCTCATTGGACTTGTTTAGGTATGTTGCTTTGCTGGTGATATTAGTTGGGTGCTATATTGCAGCCTACACTCTCTTTGGGATTTTGTTCATATGGTTTAATCCTTCTGGTGAGGACTATGGCCTCAATGTCTTCTTCCTTGTTATGACAATGGTCCTTGGCTTTGTAAATGGAATTGTTCACCCTGTGGTAAGAAAAGCATGCTCTTGAATACTTGTGTATTAGATTTGTAGACCTTTTTAATAATGATATTTGAATAATTGTATTCTCGCAAACTTCATGCACTTGCATGAATTACAAAGCTTATCAAATGGCATTCTCTACAAGTCCATGGAATTAATTTTTTAAAACGAATATCCTACTGTTTCTTTTCTTACTAGAGCTTTTTCCTATATAATTAGCTCTCCAAGGAATCTGTATCTGCCGAGGAAACTTTCCTCTTGTGACTTTGGCTCTATTCTAGTAGTGCACTCTTAAGGAGCTCAAACGTAACTTTATGTCTTATCATTTGCAACGGACTTGCTGTACTCAGATGTAACTCTATGTCTACCTTCATATAATTCGGTTGAAGTCCTATTACTTTTGAATGGTTCATGCACTTTCGTGTGTATCTTTTTCTTCTTAACAAATGATTTCGGTAATCTAATCTAGATCTAAAGAGATGAAGAGCATAAAAAAAGAAGGCGAGATTAGCCCACAATGGACACAAATATGTTGAAAGTCAACCATTAATGAAAGCTAAAGTACCTTGAGACAAAACTTTCAAAGCGAAAAAAACTAGGAAGAACAACACTCCAATCTCCATTTAAGCTCCTCTGTATAGTTCATCATATCAGTATTTCGGTGCTGTGATGCTGCCATGAGGTGCTAAAACTAGGTTGAGATTGAAATCGAGTTTCATGTGAACTACATTGTGGTTAAATTTTTAGTGCCTACATTGGTGATGCTTGATGCTTGGCTAATGTCTATTGTTAACTATATGCTTATTCTCTAGTTTATAGAGTGAGATTGACACGAAGACTTGCTGAACTCCATCAATGCTGACACAGTCCGCCTCGAAAGGTACTGAATTTTGTCTGTTTTGGATATCTTTTCTGATAATGAACTCCACATTATAGTTTTGTGAGCATATACATGAGTATGGACATCCGTAACAATTGATATATATCTATTTCTCATTAAGTAGTGTCATTACTAAACTTAAACCTGCTGGAATTATGTTTGAAGCTTGCTCGTCGGGACTGATTTGGTGTCATTTTAATCCCAATTTGGGTGCAAATCTCTCGAATGGCTGAATCAGAGGTAATTTTGTCATGCGCACTATGTGAAATATCTTTTTCTTTCTTAAGTAATGGATGAAATGTTATTTTGCATGTAAAAGCACTATGTTGATAACTTTTTGTTCTTTTGGTTGCAGCATGAAATTTCCCATCTTGCACATGTAATGCGTGATATAGAAAAAGATTATGAGTTTGCTGTAGGAATGGTGTTTTCAAATGAACTCGAAGCATACCATAAGTATGTGGCCTATGCAACCGGCAAAGGATTTGGGGTGAGGAAGGGTTAAATGTTTAAAAATAGAAAATGAGAATTAACTCGACGGACTTTTGTGTGCAATTGTGAGGGGCATTCTCTTAGCTCTTCTGATAAAGAAAAGAAATATGAGAGGTATGAAGTTAGATGTGGTTGTCTTGCTCGTATCAAATTTAAGGTTGACAATGGTGTCTATGAAGTCATTGAGTATATTTCTGAGCATAATCATGCATTTATTCCGGATGATCAAAAGCATTTGATTAGATGTGGAAGAATCATGTCTGAAACTTGTAAGGGTGTATTAGTTGATATGATTAAAGCCGGCATTAGGGGAACAACAGCATATAAATTTCTAGCAAATGAAGCAGGAGGAAGCAAAAATTTGGGTTTCAACCTCCGTGATTGTCAAAATTATTTGCAGACGAAAAGAGCCGATGGTATAAGTGGGGGAGATTGTCAAAGTGTTCTAAATCATTTTCATTTGATGCAAATGCAAAATCCAATGTTTTTATACGCTGTACAGGTAGATCAAGATGGTAGAATGACAAATTTATTTTGGAGAGATAGTATGTCGAAATTTGATTACGACTGTTTTGGTGATGTGCTAGTGTTTGATACCACATATCGTACCAACAAATATAATATGATATGTGCACCATTTGTCGGGATTAATCACCATTGGAAGAATGTTCTGTTCGATTGTGCATTTTTGTTGGACGAGACTGCAGAATCATTTATTTGGTTGTTCGAGGCTTTTTTGAAGTCTATGGGAAATAAGGCTCCAAAAACCATGTTCACTTATCAAGACCAAGCCATGGCAAAAGCTATAAGAATGGTGTTTTCGAATACACAACACCGTTTATGCACTTGGCACATCGGGAAAAATGCCAACCAAAACATCCCACATCTTTACCATAAGCCGGGTTTTAAGGATAAATATTTCTTAGCACTTATGTATGGATGTACATCGGGGGAAGAATTTGAATCTACTTAGAAGGAAATGGAAAAAGGAGTGGGATACTGCGAATAACACTTGGCTTCGGAGATTATATGACATTAGACACAAATGGAGTTCAGCTTTTGGTCGCGACACTTTTACATGTGGTATAAGATCCAGCCAAAGGAGTGAGAGCACCAATAATGTCTTCCGACGCATGTCGACGAAGACATTGACTCTTGTAGAGTTTGTTCACCACTATGAAGAACAAGTGAAGCACATGAGAGAAATTGAAACTCAAGATGATTTCAGTAGTCGAGGCGATCCTAAATATGCCATTTTGGATAATGACATCTTGACGCATGCTGGTTCAGTGTATACGCGTACCATTTTAAACGGTTCGATCATGAATTCTTGCAAAGTGTCTCTCAACATATTTCAAGTGAAGTATTTGATGGATCTGTTTATTTTTTTACTCTCAAGTTAAAGGGGAAGTTAAATGGGAGTGAATATGTTGTCAAATTTGACCCTGCAGACTCTTCAGTTGCTTGTGATTGCAAATTATTTGAATTAAAAGGGTAGTTGTGTTGCCATGCCTTGAAAGTGTTGAGTCAGAAATCATCGATTACGGTATTCCATCTGCCTATATTTTGAAAAGATGGACTATGGGTGCCAAAGAAGGGATTGTGAATGACGAACCTCGTGAAATGGCACCGAATTCATCTAAATTTAATCGATATTCGATGTTAATGCATGAATCCATCGAATTGAATAGTTTGGGAGCCGAGGATGAAAATATTATGAAAATAGTGAGGAAGGGTATGGAAAAAACGAAGGCTCAAATTATGTCATATAAATCAGGTCTGGTTGTGACTGATGATGCTAGTGATGATGATGATAACAGGGCTTCTTTATGCAAGAATCTGGTATTGGACCCCCATCGAAGGAAAGGAAAGGGAATGAGTTGTGGAAGACTTAAAAGCTCAAGTGAGAAAAGGAAGAAAAAAGCTAAGAAAGGAACATCTCCAACGCGAATAGAAAGTCGAGGTGAGTAACATATTATTCTACTTAATATGATAAGTTAAATTTTTTGCTTATGTTACATGATGCCAATTAACATATTTATTACTTTGTAATGCAGAGTTGGTTGTTCAAGCAACACGTGATGAAACTCATCTCTCGGATTATTCGAATAATTCCAATCAGTTTCAAAATGCCTTTTATGTCACGCCCCGAACCCCAACGAGCTCGCGACATCCCCTGCTCCGGTCGAAATGATGCGACGTCCCAGGAACGTCGCCGACCCAACCCAAACATCGAGCCACATGCGGAAGCGAATAACAAAACCCCGACAAATAATGACGACAACGGGGTAGAACAACGTAACAATCCAAAGAACCACATATTCATACAACACCAAATATACAAACATCATATTACAGACATAAATATAGACTAACATCCTCAGTCACCGTTTAAACAAAAATTCAGGGGTTTGGTTATCTTAATTTCACTATAGGATAACCCAAGTTATACAACCCCTAAAACACCCTAGGGAAAAACCTAAGGGTCGCCCTCTTCCATTCTGCTTCTGAATTTCTGGCTTGAATCTCTGGAACTCACATGCAGCTCCACTGGGTACCAACAGCAGCTCCCCGAACTTCCAAAAAGAAAAGGCGCACTTCCCGGGTTTAGGGCCGGGGGTCTGAAAGTGACGGTTATACAACCGTGAGACGAATCTCAATAAGTGTACAACCTCAAACTCCACGTAGGCACTCACGTACCGCCAGACGAAAACACCCATAACACACAACGATCGGCCAAACTAACAATCACATGCGACCCTACCTGGAATCCATCACGCACGTTCCTGCACGTTAGATAATAACACAGCCAACACATCACAGCAAGGAATCACAGACGCGCGCGTGCCTTAATTATAAGACAGAAACCACTTGGGCACGTCTCATACCGTGCCTAGTAGTTTCTACCCCATAATTAAGCATCACATCACGCGATACAATACACTCACACGCTACTCACACCATGTGTCACTTTCCACAATCCTCTCGCTTGTCTTGCCAAATCCCACTCATTTTCAACCTTTCCACCACTACCGCGCCCGCGTAAAACGCATCAGGCCAACGGTCTTCTGACCTCGTCAGGCATCGTCACCCCGTCGGGCCGGGCATCGTCACCTCGTCAGGGACGGCATCGTCCCGCGTAAACGTACACGCCTCAGGACGGAATCCTATACACACTTTCCTTCTACCGCGCCCGCGTAAAACGCATCAGGCCAACGGTCTTCTGACCACGTCAGGCATCGACACCTCGTCAGGCCGGGCATCGTCACCTCGTCAGGGACGGCATTGTCCCACGTAAACGTACACGCCTTAAGACGGATCCTTTCCAACCAATCTCACATTTCCATATCCTCGTTCCACTCAAACCACACTTACACACAACCAGCACACGCACGGCCAAACATACACGCCTCACACATACATAGCCACGCACCAAATTCACATCTCACGTACACTTCACAAAAACGCATTCTCATCACACGAACACCACATGATCACCCACACTCGGCACACGAACTCAATGCACATTCACATGTCCACGCCACCACACCTCACGGCCACACACACGGCATAGCACCACATCACATTTGGCCCAAGCACAAACTAGAACAAGCCAATGACAACAAACTACACAATTAATCTGATAAACCCAATCAAGCCAATACATTTCCAATTAATCACCCATTTAATTCCCGATCGATCCTCGACATCACAGCCCTAACTCAGCATTCCTAAACCTCGAATTTCGTCGCCCAATCAGCCCACAACCTCCAAACATTCAACCCCTAACTTAGTCCCGAAGACAGCCACGAAACAGCCACAAACAATCCCTAAAATCACTTAAACCGAACTTCAAACGAGTCTAGAAATACCCGAGGTCCTAAATGACATTTGGGGAAAACACTTACCCAGGCGAGACGTAACGGGAGGAGGCGGGTCGGGACAGGAGCAGCGGTGATGGGAGCGGCGTCGCCGGCGATGTACGGACGGCGTGAGCAGTGATCCCCCCGTACGGCGGTGAAGCAGTACTTTCGTACGGACACCGTATGGACAGTGGCTGGGACGGTGGCAGCGAGTGCCGGTGGCGGCCATGGCGTCCGTCGGTCCGGCGTGAACAGTGATCCGTACGGGGACGGTGTGGGAATGCACCGTACGGACCTTTATGCGGATCTGTCTGGAGCCAGCGACGTATGGCGAGGCTGGGCAATTGGGTGTCGACGGACAGCGATCGGAGACTCGTGAAGCTCCAGCGTGATCTTGTTTGTAGCAGGAAAGAAAGAGAAAAAGAGAGAAACAAAAATTTGTTTTGGACAAAAACCGGAAGTTTGTGATGGCTGCATAGAGGTGGAAATGGTTGATGGTGGTGGCTTGGTGGGGGCGGCTCCGCTGCTGTTCGGCGTGACAGTCTGGGAAATGGCGAAAACGGGACTGCAGAACCAGAAATGTGAAAAAGAAGAGGAAAATTCTAGGGAAAAAATGGCTGAATGCTTCTGTACGTGAGAGAGAGAGAGAGAGAGAGAGAGAGAGAGAGAGAGAGAGAGAAGACTATCTGGTCAAATGGGTCAAAGATAGCTTAGTGGGATCCATGTGTCAATAATCTAAGGGTTTGGACAACTTTGCCCTTGATCCAAGGGCCACTAATTGATCTTATCTAATAATTTAAGGGCCCATTGGTCATTTGTCCCTAACCCAAGGCTGACCAGACCTGGTTTGGCCTAATTGACCTTGGTTAGTCCCCAAATTTTGGTCAAAATTCGGAATAAAGGAAAATAGGCCTAGGGGCATTTTCGTAATTTTCCGATCCCGAACCGAAATTCCAATTTTCGCACATACGTGTTCCATATGTGCGTGGCCAACATAATATGGCGTCGGAATCGCGAAATTCATCGCGCAAGCCCTCGAAAATCCACGTCAAAGTTTCGGGAATAAAATAATATTATTTTTCCAATTTTTGTCGAAATTCCAATTTTTGGCCAGAACCACTCTGAATGTGCGTGGCTACCCCAAAATGACCTTGGCCGCGAAAAATAACCTCAAACGGCCTTCGAATCCAGCTTCGGTGCCCACAGGGGAAAACCGTAATTTTTCCGGCCCCGGACCGAAATCCATTTTTTTGCAGAAATGGGTGGCCCCAAGGTTGGCCAAGCCAAAAACGTCATCGGCCGCTCAAAATTGTCACTTTCAAAATTCTCGATTCCCGGGCCCGAATTCCAAGAAATGACTAAAATCGAGCAATCGCAACTTTAGCTTATCTCTGGCTAACGGGTGGCTCTCTGGAATTACGCGCTCTCGACCCGTGACCGACACTAAGTCAAATCACGTTTAAGTTTACTCCACCCGGGACGACCTCGGTTGTCATATAATTGCGAGGGTCTGTCGCTAGTTCCCTTCGGACACGATCAATCAAGTAGACCGGTCTCGGTTGGCTCAAAACATTCCCTCGTCAATCTATATGGTCGAAGATCGAACCCAGGTCGAGTTCTTTGGTCGTGCGAACTCAATCCCGTAACGGCCCTACCCCTAAGGTTAGCATCCCGTGAATGCGCATTTCCGGGTGAAATCTCACTATAAGTGCATTGATCAAATTCATTTCCTAAATCCCGGGAAAAGGATCGAAAATTCAGACTGTTACATTTTATCCTAGCAACAATAGTGGTCCTACAGTAAATCTAAATTTTCATAATCAGGTATGTCCCTCTTAATCTTCCATTTGAAGTTACATTTTACTAATTTCGTCATTTTTTTAATCTGGATGCAGCAGCCACCATACATCATGCCGCCGGGGATTATGAGTGGATTTTGCCCTATCCCTAGTCAGGTATTTAATAGCTTGGTGTATTACCATACAAAGGATTGAACTTATCATATGCATGAATGTGAATAATCTTGGAAAGCAAATTAGTGATGAATTTATTATATGTAGATGCAATCTCCATACATCATACCACCAGGGATTATGAATGGAATTCCCCATTCACAAGTCAGGTGCTTATTATTAAATCATTTTAGATCCTAGTGTTATTGCATCTTATTGTTACAATTGTAATATTTATTGTTACTGGTTTCTTCTGGATAGATGTTGGAGTATCATAATAGATCTCACGGAACCATTTTAAGTCAGGTACAACTTGCTTTTTTTACTCATGGGATTATTTGAGACATATTTATCTATTTATCTTGGCATTTGTTTAGTAAAATGTAAATAACTTAGTTATTCTTTTGTGCAGGGGTCATCAAACTATTTTCAGCATCCTAGGGTGCATGAGTTGAACGATTATGAACGAACACATACCAATTGGCCGAAGTAACCAGTTTTCATGAATTCTTTGTCAAGTAATATGATTCGAGGTACAATGGAGGAGTAAGCCATTGACTCTGTTGTTGGACCACTAGGGACATTCTCTATGAAGGTACTGTCTGCGGCCAAAGTCTTCATGCTCGAAGGTGTATAAGGGCTTCTTCTATTCTTCATTTTCAATTTTTTAGGTAATCAAGATATGGTATTTCCACAAATGAACGTCAAGGTATGTGATTAGACTTGGTGTTACGAATTAAGCTACTTGGTTACCCCTTGCTAAAGCTGGAAAAATTTTCGAGTGTGTAAGTTTGCCTGGATTGATATATTGGTATTTTGGTTTGGACAACTTGTTGCTAGATTTTATTTGCCCTATAAGTGGAATAGATAGACAAATCATGCAATGCAATGTGGCCATAGGTGGAAATCTCTAGCTTGTAGTGGTCCTTGGGCTTGAAATGACATTTCCTATCTGGCATTTAAAAACCAATGGTTATGCATTTTCAGTCATTTTGACTACACTGTGTAATCACAATGCTGGAGGAAAAGAGACTTGCAAAAGGAAAATCATGGATCTCTCAATCCCATGTTGCTAGAACTCCCTTGTGATGTGAAATGTCCTTAAATTTACGTACTTGGCCAAGCGGATAGCAGTTTGTGCCGGAAGGATCGCTAT